AATGAAAATTCGGAGTTAGCGTCCTCTTCACCGTAATCGCTGAACGAATCTTGAGCCGAAACCAATTCGTCTGAATCGTTAGAAGTAAGGGTAACTGCCTCTGATGGACAGTTTCTTAGGGTTTCATTCAAGGGAGTTTCTTCCGAAATCGAGTCACTCAGTTTTGGTATGGTACACGCCACTTTGATTCCAGACAAAAATTCGTCACCCTCACTATGGCACAGTTGCAATGCTTCTGAACAGTTTTCCGAGGTTTTCAATATGGCATCATTCAAACAAATTCTGAACTGAATGGGACTGTGGCACTGAAGTTCTAGGAGAGTAGATGATGGTGCGTTTAATGTTGCCGCCAAAACCGACTCTTCTTGGACAACCTTCCCGCATTTCATAACGCAAGAATAAGCAGACGTCAAGAGTGGCAAGTCACCGAACACGTGCCGAATCAATACAGGATACTTATCTTCCTCATCAATTAAATCTTTAGCTTCCAGCAGTCCTCTTCCATTCTCTTCACTTTCAAAAATCCTGTAAAAACAGCCTGTCTGGGAAATGTCTATCAAAACATTGTCGTCCTTCTCATCTGCACAGACGAGAAATTTGTCATTGGATTGAGTATGTCCGTCGTTTCGAATTTCACGATATTTAGACTTTATTTGGTCTTTTTGTTTACCTTCTCCCTCGTAAAGCCCTCTTACTGTCAAAATTTCTCCACTTTTTACATGTCGTCTGATTACTTTAGATCCACTACCATCTGACAATAAAGACAAGCAACTCAAACTCTTTGCCGTTAGAAACTGGTCGGCTGAGCTTTCTATCAATGACTCTAAAGTGGTATCGGGTGTCGCCTTTTCTGTTGGGCTATTTATTTCTTGAAACCAGCCTACAAATGAAATAAATATCCATATACATTATGATTTGCAATAATAACTACATATTTATTCTAATTTTAAAGATTGTGAAGTCGCTCAAGTACGTGATGCAGTGGTTAGGGCAACTGGTCTAACGTCGCAGAGTAAGGATTTGATCCTTACGTCGCGGGTTCGATTCCTACTGTTGGACGTGGAGACCTTTCCTCCGGATGAGACCCTCTAAACCGAGGTCACATGTCGCAGTAAAAGATCCCTGTTCAATGGCCCTTAGCAAGAAATGAGAAAGGTCTTTGAAGCTCAAAAATTGAAATGTATGTCGAAATGCAACTTAAATGTAGTTCCGAGTTCTGTGATAATCATGTCTTCAAGTTATTTATTTTCGTCTACTTTTGACATGCAGGATAATTATATTAACTTGCTTTCATTCAATTCATATGTATATGTTTCTATTGTATGAATATTCTTTGCTTTCGTTGTTTGCTTTTGTAGGAATTATATTTTGTTACACTTTGTCGTACGTGTATGCATTCAAAGATATCTCGATTTTTGACATTTTTTTAATTATAATGTATGTCATTGGCTCATTGTGATCAAAAACATTTAAATGATCCCTCACCTCTCTCTCAAAATAGCTGAAAATAATGGTTTCCTCACACGCAAAGTGAAATAATTTTCTGAAAGAAATCTATTACCATTTTCTCTGATAACTGAATTATACTGTTTCACCGTTTTAACATCGTCGCAAACCACGGCCAAAATGTACTCCGAATCGTGGCTTGGGACGATGACCCCATTTCTCCATCATGCAGATGTACTATATTGTAGTTATTTTAGCTCACATTTACAAATGGTTCTAAAAACATTATGATCAAACTACAATTTGTCTCTCTGTCGACTGTAATGTAAGAAATCTCTATGTAAACCCGTATTTCTTCTCAATTTTATTAAATGAATACAAGTACAAGTATATAAAAATTTACCCTCATAATCTTCTGGGATGACGTAGTGAGGACGGATTTCCGTGATCTGTCCGGACAAGGCGTCTCTCTGGAGACAGCTCACTCGGATTTTCCGGGCCCACTTCCTGGAATGAAGCAGCAAGGGTTCAGCCAAATCAAACTTAAATTCTCCAAGTTCTACTTCGTTCGTTTTGTCGCTACATTTTACCACAAGAGGAAGTTTAAAGTTATCCACAATTTCCTTCAAGGTATAACTCTGGGAACTCCATTGCATATCCGATAGGCTGACTCCATTGCTGTGTGTATGTTTTAGAATGTTGGTCAGTTTTCGTTTAATCATTCGGAAAGTCTACATCAGAGCTCGAAATTCAGTATTACTCCTTTTGTTGATCACTAAATATCGACAAAGTTATGGTTCTTCTCTCTGAAGTTGTCGAGTTTTTTTAAGTTTCACCTGAATAAATCGGTCTCCTGAAACGCCTGGTCGAGCGTGGATTTTTTGTGCATTTTTAAAGTAAATACCTGTATCATGAAATTAGCATATGTATACATACTTCCTATCAGTGTATCGGTATAAGAAATAAATACACATCATATCGCACATACTACTTTTGTACCACTTTGATGGGCCAGCCTTTTCTGGGGGAAATCGTTTAATAGATATAGGATAGAGATAAAGCGGCAAGGGTGACAATTATTTAACAATTTACTTAGGTTAAATACGCCATCAGATCTGCGTTTGGTTTACAAGAAGTATATAAATATAATGGAATAGAGTACCAATTTTGTGTAGTGAGTTGTTTTAGATATTAAACATTCCTGGATCGTACTCATACATGAAAACACTTTTACGTGATTAGCTGTTACTCAATACCACATTAGTCTCCTTCAATGTTTTTGTGCTGCATCCATGATGCAGTATGTTATGATCCATATTGTCTCCAGTCTATTTGACTGACGGCTAGCACAACCAGTAGACCATTTTTTGAGTCCATTTTATTATCAAAAGACTTCAGCAGTGCGCGATTTTGCATTTGGTTCACATTACGAAGCGCTTATATGTCTGCAGCCAGACAGGCATCGTCGCAAATTACCACATCCAAAATAAACGATCCTATCCCATTCTGGCCGTCCGGGTAGGAGACAGCTATAGGCGGACTCCGTGTCTTTAGACGATGCCAGACAGACAGGGTCATCATCGCAAAACACGGTTTATTCTGGTAGGAGCTCCCTTTATGCGGACTCTGGACTGTGGCTAAGACGATGAGACAGTGTTTGCTAATCATTCTACTTTTTTTTTCATTTGACATCAAACACTTGTTTGAAATGTGTATATATTAGTAAACCAAATTAAAAGTAACTCAAATGTGTCTTAAGGATTCAGTCTATTTCTTTATGGGAACGACTATCTACTATATACATTTTTCTCCCCTTTAAATATGGCGTAATGCTACGAAAACGTGCTGAAATTTTCATCTCAGTTCTGGAGAATATTTTAATCAAATCATTGTTGATAATGAGTTTTCTGAAGATAATGAGGAGATAAAGGAGAGTTATCTGTCTCAGCAGAAATGAAATGAACATTATTTAAGCTCAAAAGTCCATTAAACAATACAAACTATGAAGCAGAGCAAACATGGACCTCTAAAACATCAGAGGTTGAATCAGGTGCCATGGAGGAGTGAGCATCCCTTGCCGACCGCTAACATCCGCTGTGTTCATGATCAGGAAATAACGGGAAAATCCGTCAACAATTCAGTGTGTAAATAATGGCCTAACAATAAGTATAAAAAACGTCAGCCAACATTTGATTTAATGATAGATTGTATTTGCTGACAAGTTCAAACGTATCGACCATAGAACGTGCAAAATGTTGACTTTAAACGAGACAGTTGATATTTTTGTTTCATCAACTTGTTTGTCAATATTCTACAATAGTTCGTATGTAGAGCATGCTCTTAATTTGCATATCGAATTAAATGGGAAATATAAACCCCGTGTGCAGGTGATAAAGGAATATTGCTGCAATAGATTATTTCAAGATTTTGAATAATTTCATATGAATACAAAAATTGGCCTGCTAATAACGGGGCACAATTGGTACCCATTGGTATTCCAATATATTGGACTGGGGCCACAGATTTTACATTTATGGAAGAGACATCCTTTTCTTTGTGGCAAGCAACCCTTTTCCATTTACATATCGTGCTCATCTTTAACTCTCGCCTGTCGGACATTGAATATACTCGATAGTCACATGTCGCGTTCAAACCAATGATAGAGCGACATTGAATTGGAGGGAAAAATAAAGGGGGATTATAAGGCCGTATTAGGACCAGCTGCAATGTGTGAAAAATGACCGACACAGCGTAAATAAAAAATATTGGAATATGCAAACTTATGCGAACAAAAAATATTGAAAAATTATCAGTTGTTCAGTAAGCTTTTCGATTTATTTACAAGATACAAGTGTATATTCATTTATCTGAAATTTTCATTTATAAGATTTTAAGGTCTCTTCAAAAACCACAAAATGAGGCAAACTCTTTTTTCGGTCGGAAATAATATAACATGCATAATGCAATATATTTTTTTTTTGTTGCTTGCACCATTTGTACTTAAATCTTTTGGAAAACGCCTTTAAAGAAGTACTAAAATCTAAATTCATTTAATCCGCGGTTAAAAAAAAAAAAGGTTAAGCTGTGCTTAATCACTGCATTCCAGATCGTAAGAACTCAAGTTATGGTAGTCTTTAAATAACAGTCTCATTCAGAAGACATCTCTGTTGTGTAATAAATATAATGAGGAATTTAAGAAAAATACCTTCAAAACTATCATTTTGATATTTTCATTTTTTTTTTTCGCAAATTCTTTTCTAAGAATGCACTGAAAGTAAATCGGTCGATGCAAATATTTTTCAAACATCTTTTTTTCTAAGAATGCATTCAGAGCAAATAGACCAGTGCAAAATGAGATAACGTAGAGACCTAGTCTGAGGACAAACACTTTACCTTTTCAAAAAAAGTAAATTTCTTGGAGCTATAAGATTATGTCCAGGTAAGTTTAATTGTTTCTATTGTATTTCTGTCCTGTAATCTCTGTCTTACGCAATATCAATAGTAAAGACAGTTGGCGTGAACAGAATCGGCCATGAATGCTTTTCATAATCTATTGGACCGGTTCATAAAAACATCGCTCCGTGTTTACTGTCCCTGAATGCAAACTGGAAAGACAAGGTTGGTGCTTTTCTCAATGTAATTTACTTTACTATTTATATCCAAGGATTGCCTATTGGAAAGAATTTACTTTGCATAGTGGTTTTTAAACAAGGCATCGATCCGACTAGGGCACTTGAAAAGTGCGTTCTAAGTGGAGCGAATCTTTCAGACGTGGGTAGTTTGTTTTAATTGCTAAATCACATAAATGATTTCGATTTCCAGATAGACATGATGAACGGATCCACACACAGTCGGACCAATTCCTGGAGAGAGAAGAACAACAACGATCCGGAGCAGTCCAGGGCGCAATGGAGCACCCAGTCGTTTACAGCTGAGGACATTGTCCAACAGTTTACTTTACCTCAAATTGTCAAGTGTAACCAGCAGGCCATTTTGGTCAAGCGAGATGTTCCACTTCCGATCAATTTGGCACAACCACTTCTGCTCCACGACAAACGAACTATTCGAAAACTATTGGCTAGGAATGTCGTCATGAATCCTGCAACGCAGCGTTACAGTGAAAATGACGAAACAGTGGTCATTCCAGCCGATTACGACGGTAGGTTTTTATAAGCATGCATATTCATAAAAATGTTTAGTGTTTGATGACACATTTCATATTTTTGCAATTTTTTACTTTGTGTTGTTCTCTATTTGCAGTTATATTTTCTGATTCATGACTGCTTGTTAACAATGCCAAACTTGTGAAAAATCATTTTTACTCCCGATTGTCGTTATGAAAAAAAAATTGTTGTAAAAACAAACAGATCCAAGAAAGCAAATATATATATCATTATTTCAAGTCGAAGTTGTGTTTAAAAACTGCTGCATGGACCTCAAAGTATTACTTTTTTGTAAAATTTAAGTAAAATAGCTAGAACCATTGATCTTTCAAAACCAGCATGACCTCAAATCTTTTCAGAACGACATTGAAGTGGTTGTGGATTTTTTGTGAAATGAGAGTTTTTATTCTTTGTCCATCATCTGTAGTTTTTTTTTTTTTTGGTCAAAAGCGACACCTGACCAACATCACCAAAACTGTCCTTTAATTGAACCCAGTTTTACAAAACCTTCTCAAACTACTGAAGGCTAATAAAAATGCATTGAAAACGAATCTTTAAACAAGTTGAACAAGTATAATTTTAGTTCTTTCTTGCAATGAAGTTTTACTAAGATCATCTTTTCACAATTGCAATTGAAGGTTCAACAAATCTAATAGAATCCATACACATAACATGGGAAATGGAGACAAATACTGTAATATTATTTAATTAAGAAGGAATATAACACATTAACAGTTTGATTAATTTGGTCAAGAGCCAATGTACGTTTTCATTATTCATAGAGACTATGAGCTCTAACAACACCAGTCGTGTCATGGTGATCATTAGGGTGTTCAATCGATTGAAATAGAAAGTGATGAATAAATCTATTGTTTTTTTTCTTTTCGTGAAGTTACATTCCACTGTATGAAATGAGTACGATGTAAGTTAGTGGCAATACACATAGATCTGATCATTAAGCCTACAAGTCATTGAATTAAACTGAGGTTTAGAACATCCATGCACATTTTTTTCACTCCGGCTCACATTTCACATTATAATGTTAATGTTTTCCCCAAATTCACTGAAAAATATTTTGGTTGACTGAACTCATAACAAGTCTTGTAAATAGCTGTGGGATCGAGTGGATATTAATATATTGAAGAGTATACCATTGCCCATTCACCAATTAATTCCAAATGAATAAAGTTTGTTATATATGTTGTTTTTACGAAGAAAATGTTTCAGAAACGTGAATTTACCTACTGATTTCATGTGTTATGATTTTGTGGTCAAGCCTATAAAAAATTTAAATAATCTCTGTTAATAGGCAAAATCCTGGTGAGTTTAGGGCAAATTGCTTTATATTGTATTCTGTGAAAGAGTTAAACTATTCAATAAATATCTCTAAAAAGCGCATCCCTGAAGGCAACAGATATTTCAATGCAAAATATTTAAAAACATATTAAGCATGTCTTTTCGACTCCATGAGTGCTAAATTAAATGTCCGTAAGGACACACTCACATCGAAGGTGACTGACATTAGGTCAGTGAAGTTTAATCCACCTTATACCGGTATCAATCCAATCCTAAAACACAGGTCTGAAGAAGAAAACTATGAAAAGATTTAAACGTCCATGTGCTTGAAAAAACTAATACAACACTAGAAATTCAGAAGTTAATAAAAGTCTAACTTTTGCATTAAAGAACGAGGGCGCTTTTAATTGGCATTCGGCAGGAATCTGGGCGTAATCGAAAGGTGAAAATTTGATCGACATGTCACATGAAATTTTATAATTTTTTTTTATTTATCGGGTTCCTGTGCAACAGGAAAGGAAAATATTTTCCCGAAATTAACCTTTGATCCACTAAAAAATAACTTGAAAATTGGCCGGATCAGACATTTGGTACAAAATGGTACATTTTTAAGGGGGATGTACGGCCACCTTTAGTGCTGTGAGAACAAAATGTAAACATTTCTTCAAATGGCTAAAATACATGATATTTTGATCAAATTTTAAGTCCTTATGATAAAAATACAATAAATATTCATAACTGAATGCACGTTGTGCATATATAATCTATACTTTTGCAGAAAAATGCTTTTGATATGCTCCTTAGAACTGCGCAGCTACAGAATTCAGCAGAGCCTCAAAAAATCCAAAAAAATATGCAAACTGTGCATCAATGTTCCCTCTACAACCATTTGTTGAGAAAATGTCTAAATTTTGCACTTTTAAATGATAATTTCAAGTTCAAAACAAGGTATCGTTGTCTTCAAAAAGAGTGTAAAGAACCATGAAAGTAGTTCATGGATAGCAGCACGTGGTTTATTTTTAGCACAAAATTTTGTTTTCCAGAACTCTTCTTAATATGGAGGGACATACAATGAAGCGCATTGAAGTGGTAAAATTTTCCGTTCGAATGGAACGTTTTGAGCTATCTTTAGAACGTTTATTGTCATCTTATGACACGCCCATTTCTTTAGAAATGGATAAAACGGTCGATTTGTTTATTATAATAACTGTAGAACAGCTTTTCCATAAATATAATAGCCAATCAAATTGACGGTCTAAATAAACACCGAGTAAACACGTGTTCGACCGAAACATGTGTTGTCGTAACTTCAATAGACATGATAAGTTCAAAAATATGTACATATTCATTGCAATTTATGTTTTACAGAAGCGGAGAGTCTCTAACTCTCTCTTCTATTTTTTTTAAAAGCTCCATTTCAGTCTAACTCATATTGCTTGTCGCAAAGAATGGGGTGTCCTAAAACATTACGACAAATATTTCTTTCTCGTTTCTAAATATATGGGCGTGTCATTATGTTGTAATTGACGTTCAAAACATGACTCAGAACGTTTCATCCAAACGGAAAATTTTACCACTTCAATGCGCTTCATTGTAACAATCTTTAAATGTACAAGAGAATTACAGTTGCAAAATATTTCAAATAGTATGAACACTTTTAAAAGAGGAAATGTGTTATAGTATGGCTCGAAGTATCTTATTTAGTATTATTATCGAACAGTTGTTAAATAATGTACTTATTGATATCAAAGAAAAAATCTTAAACTCTTTGATTCCAGGTAAGGAAAAATGAGCACCATCAAAGTTAAGAATTAAAAGTTTGTAAGTTTGCCACACGTACATGTAACTTATAATATATATCAAAATTTTAATTATCACCAATGAAACACAAAGAAATTAAACACATAAAATCGATATGAATGACCTTGATTTAGTACCTACTAGTACAAGGGGTGATCAAAAAGTTCGTAAACTATCTCTATATCTACAAAACCACAATTCAGATTTAAGAAACAAATTTGGTGAACACATAGCCAAACACAAATTCTATAAAATAGCATATGCTGAATAAAGTTTTGCTCATAATGACGTCATTATGCAGGTACTTGTGACGAAAAATGGTTGCCTCAGTGGAGAGAGAAACGACTAAAATATTTATGGTATATCTTAAAAATGCCTTTGAAGTAGCATATAAGAATTTGTTCATAGTTTATTAAGACAAATAACTTCCTACAAATTCAATCAATTATTGGATAGATCGTTTTAGTGAAGGAAAGCAGATGGTTAAATATGATACTTGTTATATTGCCCAGTGATATATTAGCAAGTTTGGAAAGGGATGTGTTTTTAATTAAGCAATATGCTATCACAGACCTCCAATTTACACTTTGAAAAATACTTGAATATTTCAACAATAATATAACTATCAAATACCTAAGATATATCGTTTACTTTTTGATTTACCCTCGTATACTCTGTCAAATAAACATTTACAATTTTGATTTTAGCGGAGCAACATTTGAAAAGGAATGAAATCATTCAGAGTGGGTTAGGAGATTTAATGAATAAAAAAACTTTTTCTATTTGCCCTTTTTGTCAAAATTACAATTTTACAGAGTAAAGAAAAAAATCAACATTAATAAATATTTTATACCATCTTTAAAATGACGTTTGGTGGTCTTCTCAACTCAAGAAAAAATTATTGGGTCCGTAGTTATAGGTGAGAAAAAAATTCCTAAAATTTTAAACATATTCGTTGACGGAAGAAAAAAACAACATGTAATAGGATGTAAAAAAAAAAAATGAGTCGGGCCATTTCTAGGAATAGATCGGGAGAGAGGGCAACCAAATATTTTTATAACAAATTGTCTTATAAGGCTAGTACATGTTCCATCACATACTTAGTAATGCAAAATTTTTGAATCTTTGGCACTATTTTGAAAAACAAACAAAGGATTTTTTTTGGGGGGGGGGTTTAGCCTCTCATTTTTTTGCGTGATAGACATAGCTTATGCAATGGACTTTTCTTTGCAAACATTATGCTTGCTTCTAAATTTCAAACAAACAACTCAATATATTTTATCAAGCTTCGTATGTTCTATGAGCGAGAGCTAACAATGTTGTCAACATAATGAGACATGATGTGTTTTTATGTCCAAACGTTACTCCATACAATGTGTGGTTCGTTGCAAACAATCTAGCTATTTATGTGAGGTGCCTGAAGGAAATCCTATAACTGCCTAATTTTTCTTTCTAACTGCTAAACAAAATAGACACATGTACCAACTTTTCGAATATATTACAATTTGTTTTTCATGCACCGCATATTGTTTAACATTTTCAAATTAAATGCTAAGCATCCTCCTTGCAGTGCCCCATTTGAAAATAACTTCTATCGCCACAGGAAAAAGACCCACCGTATTCACATATGTTTAGGACATGTTTTATCTTTTTTCTTGAGTTTTAAAGAAACCAACAAATCATCAAGACTTGTTCCATGAAAAATTAAATATAATCATGGTAATAAACGCATCTATCCACAGCAGATATATGCACATGCCAACCACGTGCTCAGTGGAATGATATTATCGAGGAAACTCGAGCTGTAAACAGAACAGTTTTTCCCGATTTGCTAGAGTGAGGTTAAAATCACGTTTTTTCATTCATCAAACGATGTGATGCAACAAATAAAGTAGTAAGT